GAACCCCATTCCTTGGTGGGGTCCCACAGCCCCAAAGGATGAGAGGGGCTGGAGCCAGGTGGGGGTCAGGCTCTTTTCCCAGGGAACAAGAGGCAGGACAAGGGAGATGGCCTCAAGTTACACAAAGGGAGGTTTAGGTTGGATATTAGGGAAAAATCCTTCATAGAAAGGGTGGCAAGGCACTGGAACAGGCTACCCAGGACTGTGGTGGAGTCCCCATCCCTGTAAGTGTTAAAAATATGTGAGTATGTGACACCTGGGGACATGGCTTAGTGCTGACCTTGACAGTGCTGGGGGGAACAGTTGGACTTGGTGATCTTAGAGAGCATATCCAACCTTAACCACCCCATCTTCCTCTGATTCTAAGGCTTTTAAAATGTCTTTAAGCTCCTGTGATTTCATCTTTTAGAAACTCAGCTAGAGCCAAGAGCCTGCTCAGGGCAGGGCAGGAACCTGTGACAAGAGCCAGCAGTGAAGCCAGCAGTGAAGCCAGCAGGGAAGCCACCAAATGGTCAAGGGCAAAGCCTGAGGGGGATTTTTGGGTGCTGGAACAGAGGCTGTGGGGCTGAAGGGAGCCTGAGGGGGTCATCCTGTCCATCTCCTGGCCTCCAGTCTCGTCTGGGCAGCTTCAAACACCCTCAGCTCTCTGGGCTGGGCTGTCCTACAAGGGAAAATGCAATCTTCCTACATCTACCCTAAAAAAGGCTTTGCCATAATTCCAGCTCCATACCCAGGACAGTCCCTGACACTGTTTGAGGCCTGGCATGTGGGAGGTTTGAGAGCACAGCCCAGCATATCCCAGAAGGATGCAATTTCCTGGCTCAGGCTCCCCAGCTTAGCAAGTGTTTGTCCCTGCTGCAGATCCCAGCCCCTGCCGTGCCAGGGCAGACAGGCCCCAGGGCAGCAGTTAATCCTGTCCTGAAACAGAGATCATTTCCACGCTGTGCTCCCAGGCACACAGTAAATCCAGCCTGGATTTCCTCTCCCCTGTGTGGGCACACGCTGCTCCTGCTCCAGCCCCATCCCAGCACGTTCCATCACCCCTTCCAGGGAAGGGTTCAGCAGTGCTTCAGAGCAGATCCATGAAAACTGTCTGGCACAATGCCATAGCTGCCCTGTCCCACTGCACTCGGGTTTATTTCCCCCACCTTGGACTTTCACACTTCACTGGAGTTCCTTGATGGAGAGGGACTTTGAGCAAGGGCGTGGAGGGACAGGACACAGGGAATGGCTTCCCAGAGGGCAGGGGTGGATGGGATATTGGGAAGAAATCATTCCCTGGGAGGTGTGGAGGCCCTGGAATAGGCTATGCAAAGAAGCTGTGGCTGCCCCTGGATCTCTGCAAGTGTCCAAGGCCGGGTTGGATGGGACTTGGAGCAGCCTGGGATAGGGGAAGGTGTCCCTGCCCATTGCAGGGGATAGGATGAGATGACCTTTAAGTTCTGTTCCCACCCAAAGCATCTTGCGATTCCATGATTCCTTGTCAGGCAGCACCTCCAAGCATGTGGAGATGGCCCCCCATCCCTCAGACCTGTGACCCCTCCTCAGAAGGAGCCTCCCCTCCCTATGCCCATGTGAGGGCTGTGCCCGCTGTTCCAGCTGGGCTGCTCCTGCCCTGTGCCAGGGGCTGCTCTCCAGGAATGTGTCCCATCTGCTCCCTTCCCAAAATCCCCAGGGCTGGGATGCCTTTCCCTCATCCAGCCTGGCTGGAGCAGCACCAGGGTCAGCACACAGGCAGCTGTCAGTGGGGTGGGAAACCCAATCCTTGCTGGGGCCAGAGCAGAGGGATAACACCAGGCTGAGATCATGGCCTGGAATACCCAGAGAGAGGGTGACCACAGCCAGCCACCACTGCTGGCTTTTCCATGGACAACACAACCCCAGTCCCAGCAGGAATGCTGCCCTTGGACCCCCAGCACTGTCACCTCTGCACAGGGACACACACAGACACACAGGGAGCTGCAGGGCACCGGGAGCACCACACGGCACGGGATCCAAGGTGGGGAAGGCAAAGCCATGGATGGAGCCGAGAGCCAGGCAGAGCCCAGTGCCAGCAAATGAGTCAGGGGGCTGGGATGGACAGGAGCTCCTGAGCCGGCCGTGCTGCAGGTGGCAGCTTTGCAGCTCTCCCTCCTCCTTCCAACCTCCCCGCTGTGGAACAGCCTCTGGAATGTGAGCAAACACGCTGCCGGCCAGAGCAGGGGCCGCTGACTGATAACTGCGGCCCTTTGTGTCCCTTTTGGGATGGGCACCGCTCCAGCCGCTCCTGGGGCACCTTGGCAAAGGTGGCAGCACGGTGGCACGCCGGGCACACCCCGGAGAGCTGCCCGCCCTCACCCGGGTGCTGGGGAGGAGCCGTTCCTCGGGTGCGGATGGAAACGGCCTCAAATCACTGCCCTAATGATGGAAAAACATCGCTGGTCGGGAAAGAGGGCGGGAACCAGTGGGGATTTTCCGGGGGAAGCGGGGTTGTGGTTTTGTGTTCAAGTGAGTCACCAGGCTGAGAGGGGTGGAACAAGCAACACATGGTGCGACTTTTGGGGCTGTCCTGGGCAGGGCAAGGAGCTGGACTCGATGATCCTGGTGGATCCTTCCCCACCCTGGATATTCCATGATTCCATGACTCAGGGGACAGGATGCTCCAGTGTCATGGCACCCCAAGGCAGGGCAAAGCACCCAGCCCTTTTCCCGACACTTGTGGTCAGTGACTGCTCTCTGTGTCACTGCACCCCTCCCGTGTCCTGTGGGGTGTCCCAGTGCCAGCCCTGGCGCTGCCCAGCCACAGCTGTCCCTGCTGGAGCTGGAGCTGCTGGACACGGCTTCCCAAGAGCTGCCACATCCTGAGGCACTTCCGTGCCTCGCTTTGCTATCCCTGCACGGGGTGCTCCTCCCTTCCTTCCTTCTTGGCCAGGAGATCGCTGGGAGCCAAGGGTGGAGTACAACAAAAATAGAGCTTTATTTTGGGACAAGTGCAATCGGAGCTGGGTCCTTCGGCCCCGGCGTGGGGATACAAGTGTGGCAAGGCCACCAAGGGCCCGGCAGCAGTGCCAGGCACACACACCGGCTGTCCCTTTGCCATGGCATGTGCTGTGTCACAGCCCAGCACTGTCCCGTGTCACAGCCCACCACTGTCCTGGAGCGATGGCAGCGGGTCCAGGCTGCTCCCGTGCCCTCGGCTGGGCTCTCACCATCTCTGCCACGGATGCCAGTCTGCAGCGAGCTGGGAGGGGTGGGGACAGCTGTGGGGGCTCAGGGGCGTGGTGGGGACAAGGACAACATCGGCAGCACCACCGGCGGCCCCTGGGATTGTCACGACACGGGGGACGGGGACAGGAGAGGGGACACACCCGCCCTGTCCTGGGCGTTCGGTTCGGCCACGAGAACCGAGTGTACACAGAGAGCCAGGGGCCACTCCAGCCAGCAGAGCTCAGTAGTGACACACACACAGACACACAGACACACACACACAGACACACAGACACACAGACACACACACAGACACACAGACACATCTGTTTCCCCAGGTGGGACAGCAGCTGGATGCACGGAGCTGTGTATCCAGAGCTGTGTCCAGAGCCACATCCCTGGGCCCTGTGTGCACACAGGGACACGTGCAGAGCCAGTGCACAGCGGGACCTGCCAGCAGCACACACCTGCACACACACACACACACACACACACACACACAGAGCTGTGCACGCCCAGCCTGCACACACCAGCACGCGTGTGCCACACAGACACTGTGCACACACCTGTGTACGGCCTGGGGCAATGCACACATGCCCACAAGCACGAGACCTGCTTGCACACAGAGCCTGACATGTGCACACCAATGCATGCACACTGACACGTGCACACCAACATGTGCACACCAATGCATGCACACCAACACGTGCACACAGAGCCTGTGCGCACCAACACATACACAACCAACACGTGCACACCAACACACACATACAGAGCTGTGCACACCAACGTGTGCAGTGTCATACACATCAACACAGGCACGTCCCACACAGGGCCATGCTCACACCTGCAGAGCCTGTGCACACCCACAAGCACAGAGCTGTGCACAAACCCACTCACACCCAAGAGTGTGCAATTCCACACACGTGCACACATCACGTGTGCACATCAGCACGTCCGTGTGCACAGTGCTGTGCTCACCAGCACACCCGGACACTGTGCAAAGCAGGGCGTGTACACTCACTTCTGGGCACACCAGAAAACACACGTGCACACAACCATGCACACTGACACACGTGTGCGCCTCAGCAGCTGTGTGCACACAGAGCCATGCACACTGGCACACACGTGCACAGTCACACACACACTGCACAGAGTCACACACACTGGCACACACACGTGCAGAGGAGTCACACACCCTGGGCACGTGTGCACAGTGACACACACCCTGGCACACACTGGCACAGAGTCACACACAGTGGCACACACGTGCACAGTCACACACACACAGTGGCACACGTGGGCACAGTCATACACACTGGCACACGTGTACACAGTCACGCACACTGGCAGACACACTGGCACACACAGGCACAGCATGTGCAGGCACACACTGGCACACATGTGCTCAGAGTCAGACACATATCTTGGCACACATGTGCACAGGCACACACACCCTGGCACACACATGCACAATTACACGCCTTGGTACACACGTGCACAGAGGAGTCACACTCATTGGCACACGTGTGCACAGTCACACACACTGGCACACACTGCACAGAGGAGTCACTCATTGGCACACGTGCACAGAGTCACACACACGTGCACAGTTACACACTCAGGCACACACACGTGCACAGAGGAGTCACACTCATTGGCACAGGCATGCACAGTTACACACCCTGGCACACACACGTGCACAGAAGAGTCACACTCACTGGCACACACACGTGCACAGAGGAGTCACACTCATTGGCACAGGCGTGCACAGTTACACACCCTGGCACACACACGTGCACAGAGGAGTCACACTCATTGGCACACACGTGCCCAGCGCTCCCCCAGAGCCCTCCCAGCCCCTCACCCCCCGTGGGTCCCTACTCGTGCCGCGGGTGCCGCCGCAGCCCACAGAGGCCCCAGCAGGCGGCCAGGAGCCGGGGCTGGTGGTACAGCACCATCCCCGCCAGCGTCAGCGCCACGCCGGCGTAGCCCAGCGCGCCCAGCCGCGTGCCGAACAGCAGCCACGACAGCAGCAGGTTGCCCACCACGGTGAGGCTGCCCAGCAGGTGCAGCGTCAGGGCCGACGTGAGCGACAGGAGGCAGGAGGTGGCCAGGTTGTAGAGGACGGAGCCCAGGCAGCTGAGCAGGACGCAGCCCCAGAGCGCGGCGTCGGGCCGAAGGACGCCCTGCCACGAGGGGCCCAGCTCCAGCGCCACGGCCGCCCCGAACAGCAGCACGAAGCTGGGCAGGGACGTCAGGCCCAGCAGGGACAGCGCGTCCAGACGGTCCTCCTGCAGCAGCACACCTGGGGGGACAGGGGGACGGTCAGTGGGACATCCCACGGGAACACCCGCCCGCCGCAGGGACACCCACGCGAGACACCCACCCACGGGAGACAGAGCAGTAAAGGGATCCCAAATGTCACTGGGAAGGGGAAAATGAAGAGGGGCAGGTCCTTCCATGGGCTGGGGGTGCCCTGGTTTGGGGAGGTCTCAGTTTAGAGGTTCCCTGGTTTGGATGTGTCTCTGTTCAGGAGTCCTTCATTTCTGGGATTCCTTGCTTTAGGGGGTGTCCCACTCTGGGGATGCCCTGATTCCGAGGCTGTCTGCTTTCATGGGTGCCTGTGTTTGGGAGGGTAGGACAGGGCAGCTTTCCCAGTCTGTTTTAGAACGTTTGTCCCCATGTTCCTCCCTCCAGGTCATCTGAGGACAGTGGGGACAGCAGGCACAGCAGGGCTGGCTGCCACACACAGACATGTCCCTACCCTCCCCAGGGCCACTGTCCATATCCCACCGGGGTTGAAAGGGTGACAGAGCAGTGGCACAAAGACCAGTGGTGTCCCTTGGGGGGCCACAGCACCCCACTACAGCCATGGAGCCCTTGCGGTGGGCACAGGGCCCCATGCCAGAGCCTGTCCCCACGGTGCCCTGAGCCACAGGCTCCAGAGGAAACGCTCCCTTCCCAGCCAGAGCCATCCCAGCTGGCTCCTCACTGCCATGTGCCAAGGACACCATGGCCCGGGTGGCACCGTGGCCACCCTGGGAACGGGGGACTCGCAGGGAGTCCAGCAGCCCACAGGGATGGGACAGGCTGGGTGACCCTGAGCCAAGCTAGGGCACCTCCACCCTCCCTGGCCCAAGGACACCACAGGGACACCAATGGTGTCACCAATGACAAACTAAAGTCAGGTCACCTCAGGGCAGGGCCACAAGCACGACAAGGGTGCCATGCCACAGGGGTGGCACCAAGGCCAACAGGGACAGCAGGTGGCACCAGGACTGGGGTGAACCTGGGAGCCAGAGTGCCACCACGGTTGGGGTGACACCGTGGCCACGGTTAAAGCACAAAGGAGGCATTAGGGTGACACCAGTGATAGGGTGGGGTGGCATTGGGGCTGGGGTGACACCAGGGTGCACAGAGGATGGCAGGGCGAGCAGGGAGAACCCCCAGCACCGGGGATGGCACCGAGGTGACACCAGCACCCCTGCACCCCAGGGGTGGACATGCAAGACAGGGACAGGTGGCACTTACTCTGCTGGATGGACTTGAGGGCGCGGAGCACGGTGGCGGCCAGCAGGAAGCCGCAGCCGGGCTGGGAGAAGCAGAGGCCGCCGGCGATGCTGCAGGCGGCCCCGGCGCACACCGGCCCCATGGCCCAGAACTGCAGCGGGTGCGGCCGCCGGCCCCCCAGCAGCCCCAGCAGCAGCGTCACCAGCGGCGTGGTGGTGGCCACGGCCTGGGCCACGTCCAGCTGCACGTAGCTCAGGCCCAGGTTGCCCAGGGCCACGCTGGTGCAGAAGGTGAGGCTGAGCAGGTAGATCCTGGCGCGGGGCCGGGGGCCCGGAGCCCGCGCCCAGCCCAGCGGGTAGCCCACGGCCACGCCGGACAGCATGTGCAGCGCCGAGAGCAGCAGCGGGTAGCGGAACCCGTGAGCGGCGAAGATCCACTTGTTGAGGCCGGCCATGGTGGTGCCGGTGCCCAGCCAGGCCAGCACGCTGAGGGTCAGCGGCAGCGCCGGCCCCGGCGGCCGCCCCCCGTGCGCCTGCCCCGGGTCGGGCTTCCAGGGCCGCACGGTGCCCGCCGCGCTCATCGCGGCTTCATCGCCCCGCCGCGACCGCGGGCACATGGGCACGGGCTCCGCCGCCTCCGGCCGCCCCTCGCCGCTCTGCCCCGTCCTCCCTGAGCCCCGCGATGGCTGCCGGTGACAGCGGCGCTGGCGCGGCGGCGGCCGCGCTGTCCCCGGGTGGCGGCCGCGCTGTCCCCGCAGCCCGGGTGGCGCTGTCCCCGCTGCCCGGCGGTGCTGCTGGCGGGGCTCAGCGCCGGGCTGGCGGTGCCATGTGCCGGGAGGCGGCGGCGGCCGGGGCGGGCGGAAAGTTTGGTGATGGCGGGAGCGGAGGGCGGAGGCTCCGCCCCGCGAGGGCAGCGCGTCACTGCCGGGCGGGCGGGGCACGGCGGGCACGGGCACCGGGCACCCCCGGGGGCACCGCCGGCACCGCCCGCCCCGCGGGCACCGGCCCGCAGCGCCCTCCGTGCTGACAGCGGCGCCGCTCCCAACCCCGCCCGGCCCCGGCGCTGAGCCCCGAGCCCGGCCCGCCGCTGCCCCGGGGGTTTGGGGCCGGGTTAAACTCCCGAGGAATCACAGATGTGCAGATTTGGGGGTGCCCCTCGGGCACTGCGGTGCCCGAGCCCTGGGACAGTGGGGGCTCAGTAACCCCGGAGGAGGATCCAGCTTGCTGAGGATGAACAGCGCCGATTCAGACTCCCCAAATTTTTGGCCGCCCCAAAAATGCTTTGGACACCCTAAAAGCGGCTGCTCCCAGCGGCCGCCTGCCCCATTCCCGAGTGCGACCAGGACTGGAGGGGCTGCTGGTTTTGGTGCTCCTGTAGGACACAGAGCATGGTGTGTGTCCCCTCCTCATGCCCCTAGCAGATTTGGGGTGCTGGCCCACGGAAAGCAGGAGGCAGGGAGCCGGCAGGTCCTGTGCCCACAGTGGGGGTTTCATTGCCATCACCCCCCCACCCTCTACCACTCGCTGAGGCGCAGGATGACGGTCGCCCCATCAGGGGGTCTGTACTCGGCGATACCTGTGGGGAGAGGGACAAAAGTCCGGGGTGAGACAGCAGCCACGGGGCTGTGGGGGATCCCTGCCACCTCCCCAGGGACCCCCACTCGCCACTCACCCATCTGCAGGGGGGTGCTGGGCGCAGACAGGATCTGCCAGTAGTTCCGCTTCTCCTGCCGGGCCTCCAGCCCCAGCACCTGGGTCAGGAAGGGGCCCTGGGGGGTGTCCTGGGTGTGGAACCTGGGGATGGCACAGCGGGGTCAGGGGGGCGAGGCTGCGGCCTCGGCACTGCTGGGGGGGCACAGAGCAGCTCCAAGGGAGCTGTGAGCTGGGAACGGAGTGAGCCCGGCACAGGGCACAGCTGCAGGACACGTGGCCACCACAGCGTGACCCCCACACACCTGAATTCCCGGGGGTCCAGCGCCGCGGCCGCCTGGAGCACGTCCAGCAGGGAGGCGGCGGCGGGCACGGGCACCAGGCGGTCGTAGAGCTGGAGGTCATAGCACCAGGGCAGGGGACACTCCACCACCAGCTGCACCGTCTTGTTCCCCGGCACCTCAGGCAGGGGCTCCGTGTCCAGGGGTGTCAGCGTGTCTGCGGGAAGCCATCACGGCACTGGTGACACGCAGCCACCCCTGTGGTGACACCGGCGCTGACCCCAGTCCCGTTAGCCCAGCTCTCACCTGGCTCCTCCCCGCAGTGCCTGGAGGCGATGTCCAGGTAGGAGTGGCCGTGCAGCACCGGCAGCACCTGGGCCATGGTGGCAGCGGTGCCGAAGGCTTCCAGGTTCTCCAGCAGGGCAGCCATGGCCTGGCCGAACGCCGGCTCCGTCTGGCACTCGCCTGTGGCCAGGAACACCTGGGACGGGGAGGGATGGAGGTGGTGGGAAGAGGGAGGAGGGTTGGGTACCTGGGCACTGCATTGCTGAGCATCACCTGCCCCACAGCAGCTGCATCTGCCTGGGCACCCACATCTGCACCTGCACCCACATCTGCACCTGCACCCACACCCAGATCTGCAGACCCACTTCCCCCATGCCCATTCCCAGTGCCAGCCCAGATGTCCCCTCAGGTGACACACCTGCAGGGCCCACGGGGTGCTGTAGATGTTGCCGATGATGCCGTCAGGGCCCTGGGCCTTGGCCATGTTCCTGCTGGCCTCGTGCGCAGCCAGCCGGAGCTTGGCCGCCAGCTGGGTCCCCACCAGCCTCCTCCGCTCCAGGCAGGTGAAGGCCAGCGCCAGCACGGCCTCGGTGTCTGCAGGGACAGCCCGGTGTCACCCCCGAGTCACACACTGCCAGGGTGCCACCACCTGTGCCCAATGGCCCTTACCCACGGTGTTGCCACCGTGCCCGAGCTTTCCGTGCTGCTGGGCCGTGAGGAGCCGCTGCACCACCTGGTCCCGCACGCGCTTGCGGTGCACGCACAGCGCCAGCACACCCAGCCCGTACTGGTAGTAACTGGTGACGGGGTGGCCTCGCTGCTGGGAGCCTGGGGACAACGGGTGGTGTCACCAGGGTGAGCCGGTGCCTCACGGCCCGACGTGTAGTGCCAGGGGGGCACTCACCCCGCGGGGACACCCTCACCTGTCCACTCCTCCTCCAGGTAGTACTTGAGCCATGTCACCAGCGAGCGATGGGGACTGACGGGGGGACAGGAGGCCTGCAGCCCCAGCAGGTACAGTGCCAGCCGCCCCGTGTGCGGGGGCTCCTCCGCGCTCCTGCAAGGCACCGTCACCTCCCAGGGCACCGCCCGAGGTGCCACCGGCCCCGAGGGGACTCCGGGACACCCACACTTACATGCCGCGCTCAGCGTCCCACCGGGAGCGGCCGTAGTCCTGCAGGCTCCTGCGGGTCAGAGTGTCAGCACAGGGGACAGAAGCAGCCCCAAAGGCCCGCGGGGACCCCGGGCACCCACCTGCCGTACGGGTGCTGGAAGTTCTCCTGCAGCCGCTCCAGGTAGCGCCGCTCCAGCCGGGGATGGTGCTCTCGGGCCAGGCGCAGGGCCAGGTACACGGCGGGGTCCGGGTCCCGTTCGGGGTCCCCCGCCAGCCCCAGCAGCCGCGCACTCAGCGCCCGCACGGCGCCCTCCGAGCCCGCCGGGGGCTCTGCCCGGCCCGGGAGAGGCAGCGCAGGTCAGGGAGCCCGAGAGAGCCGAGACATCCCCCCGGTACGGCCCTGCAGCCCCACAGCCCCCCCAAAGCTGCGCGGGGCCGCGGCGGGGAGCGACCCCAGCACCCACCCATCCACACACCCTCCAGATCCCATAACCTCCATACTTTCCAGCAAAAAAAGAGGAAGAAACAAGGAGAGGTGACATGGAGCAGGAGCAGGGGTGGGTTGAGGGGAGCTGAGCCCCGGAGAATTTGTCACCGAGGGCTGGAGATGGGGCTCATCCCCCCAGCCCCGCTCCTCGGGGACCCCCCGAGCTCAGGGCGAGCCCCGGCCGGGGGATCCCGGGCAGGTTCGGGGACCGGGGCCGCACTCACCGCAGCAGCGGGCGGGCAGCAGCGCGGGCAGCAGCGCGGGCAGCAGCAGCAGCAGCAGCAGCGGCAGCCCCATGGCGGAGCGGGACAGGGGACACGGCGGGGACAGCCGAGAGAGACAGGACGAGCCGGGAGCGGGGACAGCACGGGAAGGTGTGGCGAGAGGCCGTTTCCGCACAACGGGGCCGAGTCAGCACAAACGGGGCAGAAGTTGTGCTGAGGCGCGGCCGAGGGGAGCGGGGACAGCCCGGGGCAGCCTGCCCGGGACAGCCCGGGACACCCTGCCCGGGCCAGCGCCGGCGGCCACAGCTCGAAAATAGACAGGGCTGAAACCCGGCCAAACCCGGCCCCTGGAAAGAATCGCCGTGCTCGCCTCCAAGAACGATTTAATTGAGAAAGCGGGGATGGATCAGCCGCGCCGAGAGCCGCGGGACGGGCGGGGAGGGAGCACGAAACCCCCCAAACATCCCTAAAGCCGGGGCTGAGGGGTTCCTGAGCCCCGAGAGGTGACACTCCCCTGCCGGGGGCTGGGTGCGGTCCTGAGCCACGAAAGCGAATCCCCGAGCCCAGGAGGGGATCCCGGGGCCGCACTGGGCTCAGGTCCCGCCAGCCCGGGGACACCCGAGCACGGGGGCGGGCCTGGGGAGCCCCTGGCACCGAGACCCCCCATGCCCGGGTGTTCCCCAAAAACCGGCCCCGCTGTGGGCCCCAGGCCGGTGCCTGCGGTCGGTGCTGCGGCGCCAGGGACCACAGGAGGGCAGCGGGACCCGCAGGCCCGGGCAGAGACCCGCGGCCGCCATCCCGGTGTGTCACCAGCCCCTGAACCCAGGCCGGGCCTGTCCATCCTGCCTCGCTATATCCCGGCGTGCTTTGCGCCATCCCACGTCGCTATATCCCGGCATGCTCAGCGCCAGCACTGCCTCGCTATATCCCAGCATGCTTCGCGCCACCTCTGCCTCGCTATATCCCAGCATGCTCAGTGGCATTGCCTCATTGTGTCCCGGCGTGCCCTGCGCAGCCCCGCCCCAGTACCTCCCGGCATGCCCCGCGCTACTATGCCGCGGTATATCCCGACATGCCTCGCGCCTCCTGCCTCGCTATATCCCGGCATGCCCCGCGCGGCACCGCAATATCCCAATGCTCTCTGCGCCTCAGGACCCCTCCTGCTAAGGCTGTGGGCTGCCCGCGGCGCGCCTGACTGAGCCCCCGGTGCCGCCTGCCCCGGCCCGCCCGGTGCCCGCTTTGCTCTCGGTGCCCGCTTTGCTCTCGGTGCTCACGCCGCGCTCGGTGCCCGCGCGGGGCGGTTTCGGTGTGCGCAGGCCCGGCGGCGGGCGCAGGCGGTTCGCGGGCAGCGCGGGGTCCTTCGTTGCGCGGGCACGTGGCGGCGGCGGCGGCGGCGGCGCTGGGGCCATGGGCGGGCTGGAGAAGAAGAAGGTACCGGGCCCGTCCTGCCCTCCGCTCACCGCCCGGCGCCTCCCCGGGCCGTCCCTCCCTCCCCCCTCCCTGCCCTCCCCGCGCCCCCCGGTGCCGGCCCGGTGCTGCTCCCCCGGTGCCGGTGCCGCCCCTCCGGCCGCGCCGTGCCCCTGCAGCCCTCCCTGGCGGCGCTGCTCGCTCCCTCTCCCTGTGCCCGGTTCCGTTCCTGCCCCCGCGCTGGCCGTGCCCGGTGCCCCCTTCCAGCCCGCCTTGCCCCAGTTCCCGTCCCTGCTCCCTCTCCGCTGCCGGGGGTCCCGGTGGCCCCGGGCCGGTTGCGGGGCTCCCCTCCGCCCCCCCGAGCTCCCCCAACGCCGCCGTCTCTCCCCAGTACGAGCGCGGAGCCGCCACCAACTATATCACCCGCAACCGGGCGCGGAAGAAGCTGCAGCTGAGCCTGCCCGACTTCAGGTGCGGCCCTTGCGGTGCCCCCCGAACCCCAAACCCCCTTCACCCCCTTCCTGCGAACCCTCCGGTGCCCCGAGCTCCCCCGGTGCCACCCAGGGCAGCGAGGGGCGGTGGAGCCCGCTGTGGGGGTGGGGGTGGCCCTGGCACGGCCGAGGGCTCTCCCTGTCCCGCAGCTGCCCCGGGTTCAGGCTGCCGAGTTCGGGGTTCCCCCTGCATGGGAGGGGTCCGGGCTGGCCCAGGGGACACAGAGCAGCCGTGGCCCCCCTGTCCCAGCATTGTCCCTTGTCCCCAGGCGCCTCTGCATCCTCAAGGGGATTTACCCCCATGAGCCCAAGCACAAGAAGAAGGTGAACAAGGGCTCCACGGCCCCCAGGACCTTCTACCTGCTCAAGGACATCAAATTCCTGCTCCATGAGCCCATCGTCAACAAATTCCGGGAGTACAAGGTGAGTGTCCCCCCGAGGGGCCCCCCTGGGCTCTGTCCCTGTCCACAGAGCCCCCACGTCCCCCTGTCCCCACAGGTGTTTGTCAGGAAGCTGCGCAAGGCCTACGGCAAGAGCGAGTGGGGCACTGTGGAGAGGCTGAAGGACAACAAACCCACCTACAAACTCGACCACATCGTCAAGGAGAGGTGAGGCAGCCCTGGCTGAGCCTCCTGCAGCACCCAGCCCTGGGCACAGCACTGCAGGGACCTGGAGCTGCTGGGGAGAGCCCAGAGGAGGCACCAGAGATGCTGCAGGGGCTGGAGCTCCTCTGCTCCGGAGTTATGGCTGCCCATTGATCCCTGGAATGTCCAAGGCCAGGTTGGACAGGGCTTGGAGCAGCCTGGGACAGTGGGAGGTGTCCCTGCCATGGCAGGGGTGGCACTGGATGATCCTGTGGGAATCTCTGTGGTTTTCAGGCCATCCATCCCTCTGCTCTGGAGCCAGGCTGGGAGAGCTGGGGTGCTCATCTGGAGAGGAGAAGGCTCCAGGGAGAGCTCAGAGCCCCTTGCAGGGCCTGAAGGGGCTCCAGGAGAGCTGGAGAGGGACTGGGGACAAGGGATGGAGGGACAGGACACAGGGAATGGCTCCCAGTGCCAGAGGGCAGGGATGGATGGGATATTGGGAATTGGGAATTGTTCCCTGGCAGGGTGGGCAGGCCCTGGCACAGGGTGCCCAGAGCAGCTGGGGCTGCCCCTGGATCCCTGGCAGTGCCCAAGGCCAGGCTGGACACTGGGGCTGGGAGCACCTGGGACAGTGGGAGGTGTCCCTGCCACGGCAGGGGTGGCACTGGGTGGGCTTTAAGGTCTCCCCCCACCCAACCCATCCTGGGATTCTCTGGTCTTCCACCACGTCCATCCCTCTCTGGGAATCCACCTCATGTTCAATTTCTGGATTTATTGGTGGAATTTTGTGTTTCTGGGCTGGAGAAGAAGGAATGAGAGAGGAGCCAGCCATCCTGGGTGGCTCCAGGAGAGCACAGGGAGCTCCCTTGAATTCCCTGTGTGGTGCTTTCCTCAGGGGGCTGGTGAAGGGTTAAAGCTGCCAAGGCTCTGGTGAGGGAGGGACACAGGAGGGAGGAAACCCCATAACCATTCTGAATGAGGCTGTTCCATCACTCTGTCCTGTGCTGGGATGAGCAGCTGGATGCTGCACAGCTCCCATTCCTTCCTCCCCCTGGCTGTCCCCCAGCCCCAGCAGCCTGTGCAGGGCTCTGGGGCTGGCAGTGACCCCCGTGTCCCCTCCCTGGGCACAGGTACCCCACGTTTGTGGACGCGCTGCGGGACCTGGACGATGCCCTGTCCATGTGCTTCCTGTTCTCCACCTTCCCCCGCACGGGCAAGTGCCACGTGCAGACGGTGCAGCTGTGCCGGCGCCTGGCTGTGGAGTTCCAGAACTTCGTCATCGCCTCCCGCTCCCTGCGCAAGGTGGGACCGGGGACAGCCAGCCCTGCCTGGGGACACTGCAGGGACAGCCAGCCCGGCCTGGGGACACCGGGGGGACAGCCAGCCCTGCCTGGGGACACTGCGGGGACCGGGCAGGGGGACACCAAGGGGTCAGGGCAGGGGGACACTGCAGGAACAGCCAGCCCTGCCTGGGGACACTGGGGGGACAGGACAGGGGGACACTGCCGGGACAGCCAGCCCTGCCTGGGGACACTGCGGGATTGGGGCAGAGGGACACCGGGGGGACACTCAGCCCTGCCTGGGGACACGGGGGGCACAGGGCAGGGGGACACTGGGGTGTCAGGTAACAGATCCCATTGGGGTGTCAGAGCAGGGACCCCACTGGATTATCGGCTCACACATCCCACTGAGGGGATCAGGGCAGGGGGACACTGCGATGTCGGGTCACTGATCCCACCGGGGGGACAGGGCAGGGATCCCACTGGGATGCCAGGGCAGGGATATTGTGACGGTGTTCACAGGGGTCTTAGGATGAAGGAAGAGATGAGGATCTGACTCCATGTTTCAGGAGGTTTGATTTATTATTTTATGATATATATTATATTAAAACTATACTAAAAGAGTAAAAGAAAGGATTTCATCAGAAGGCTGGCTAAGAATAGAAAAGAAATTACTGGCTGACTGAGACAGTCTGAACAGCTGGGCTGTGATTGGCCATTAATTAAAAACGACCACATGAGACCAATCACAGATGCACTTGTTGCATTCCACAGCAGCAGATAATCATTGTTTACATTATGTTCCTGAGGCCTCCCAGCTTCTCAGGAGAAAAAATCCTAAGGAAAGGATTTTCCATAAAACATGTCTGTGACAGGATCCCACTGGGGTGCCAGGGCAGGGACCCCACTGGATTATTGGGTCACTCATCCCACTGGGATCTGAGGAACCTCCTGCCAGGGGCAGGGTGACAGTGACAGGGACACAGCAGCCTTCCTCCTGCTGAGCCCGTGCTCTGTCCTGCCAGGTGTTCCTCTCCATCAAGGGCATCTACTACCAGGCAGAGGTGCTGGGGCAGCCCATCACCTGGATCACCCCCTACGCCTTCGCCCACGACGTGAGTACCTGGGGACAGCCCGGGGGTCACCCTGGGTGCCTGGGGATCACCAAGGGGTGAGGGACTGTCCCGTGGCACATGGGACACACACAT